CTTTCTTTCTTTCTTTCTTTCTTTCTTTCTTTCTTTCTTTCTTTCTTCTTTCTTCTCTCTTCTCTCTTCTCTCTCTCTCTCTCTCTCTCTCTCTCTCTCTCTCTCTCTCTCTCTTTTCTTTCTCCGTCTCTCTTTCTGCTAAACCTAATTTTGAAACAAAGTTTTCTCAACAACAAACCCAATGCCCATAGAATGGTCATCATTTTTAATTTTTCTCCTCTTCAGAACAGACTACAATTCTCCTGATTCTGTTACAGTCAATAGCTGTAAATAACATTTTAGAGTAGAATTCTTTGAAGTATTTTTTTCTGATTGTTTGAATAGCTGAAGAACAATAATTTTCTATTTTAGATTTTATATTGTTTGAAATGCTACTCTGTTTCTGGGATTTCACATTGATAATGACTTTATTTATCACTGAACTGGATAGAGCAGAGCATTCAGTTCTATTGCCAACACACAATCTCAAATTAGAATCCTTTCATTCTGCTTAATTGTTGATAATGTTTGCTTTGGCATTCTTTTTACAAACACTCTTATCATTTTATCAACTCTCTTTTCATTTCAATTTATTTTATCTCTTTCACTTGAATACATAATAGAGACAAACAGATTTTGTTCTCCATTTTTAAATATACTTTTTGGAGTTTTGAGAACTGTATGTTGACATAGATGTTTTTCCCTTTTTATCTTACCCACCTGTGTATTTTTTTATTTTATTTTTTGCATCTATCTTGTGGCTCCATTTAACTGCTAATTAAAAAGGAAAACAATAGTAAAACCAAAAACAAAAAAAAACACCTTCCCATCCATAACCTACCTTGGCACACTCAACATTGATTATACAAATTAGTAATAATGACAGGTGAGGCATCCACCTTATCATACTCTCAATATGGCTTCATTTGCTCTATTTTTATTTTATATTCTGGTTGAAATACATTCCTCTTTTATGAGGAATTGCTTGCTTACAAAGCTGAAAGGCTTGATCATGTGTAAGTTTTTTATTCTCAGAGTAAGAGCATTGTACAAATATAATTGCATTTTTAAGTGCATTTGGAAATGTAGGAATATATTGGCACTACTTCTTTTGATATAAATGGACATCATTGTATCTTTTTAGAACCATGTGGGTAAGTGGCTAATTGGAGATGTGGTGCTTAGAGTAGAAACAATCACATGTATTATGTAGGTATTTTATTAATTTTGTTCAGGAAACTCTGCTTTTCAGCTGCTTTACATAGAGATATGAATCTACTAGTAATTTAGAAATCAACAGGAAAAAAATGATAATGGATATTGCATATTTTTATGATTGCGGAAAAAATGATTCTACCAAGCCTGGAAGAGAATGTACTTTCTATTAGTAATATGATAGTCTAAAGAATTGACATCTTTTTCTATATTAGAATGAGCATTTTGCCACCAGGAGTTCTAGCTGCACTTAGATTGCATGTATTAATTCACTTGTATTTCCTTTTTCTCACTATTGCTAAATAAACAATTAAAATTAATTATGAATTGGATATCTTAGCTATATACATTTTTTTTCAGATTTTTTTCCAGATTTTTGTTACGATAACTGCCCACTGATGAAATTTCATTCAGTAATGGTCAAGATTCATCTACTTCCTTTATTCCTTGCAATTTTGTTTTTCAACATAATTTGGAGAACTCCCTCCCTGGTTCGTGCGTGCCCACAGAACCAATAGTAAAAAAGTTTGAATCCCACCACTGCCCTGGAGCAAAGGATTCGAACCAGCATTTGGGAAATTCCAGGCTTGTGGAATTTCAATCTAGTCAGAGGTGGTATTCAGCAGGTTCTGGAGAACCGGTAGCAGAAATTTTGAGTAGTTCAAAGAACCAGCAAATACCACCTCTGACTGGCCCTGCCCCCATTTATTCTCTGCCTCCCGAGTCCCAGCTGAATAGCTGGGTCTTCTTTTGTTGCCCTGCACAGGAGAATGGAGCTGGAAAGCAGGTTAGTGGGGTGGGGAGGGAATAGGATTTTGCAGTAACCTTCCCCTGCCACGACCACCAAGCAATGCCATGCCCACCAAGCCATGCCTACAGAACCCGGTAGTAAATTTTTTGAATCCCACCACTGAATCTAATATATAGTTTAATATAACATTCCTTATATAATCACAGTGAAATTTGCAAGAAAGAAGTACAAATGCACAAATTGACTAATAAGAATTGAGCAGAAAGCTGACAGGCTTTTGAATGTGTGAGGAAGAAACATAAAACAAAGCACTGGAATATCTGGAGCAACATTTATTTTCCAATAAATTGGAGAAGTGACTAAGAGCATTTCATTGCAGTTCCAGCATTCTGTTTATTATATAATCTCTTATTATTCCCATTCCCCTGTGTCCATAAAAAAAGGTGAAATGATTTAATGCCTAGACTACAGTGAATCCTTCACTATAGACATATCCAATAGCAATAGAATCACCCAGCCTGATTGAAGATACCTGTTGCTCAACCTGGACACAAATTGAACTGTACATGCTGACAGTATATTCTCTGACAAAGTAGCCCCTTATTCACCAGTACCAGACATTATGAAATGGCTGATTGACTGAACAATCAATACATTTTAAAACAGTACAAAACAGTTAGATTGCATCCATCATTTAGTACTCATTGGTCAATATTTGACCCTGATATTTCCTTCCAGGCACATTTGTAATGATAAATGGGTCATTTAGCAGTGTGATTGCTTGAATATATTTTTTTCAGAAGAATAACATATTTTTCAGGATTCCTTTGCTTTTTCTCCTTTAGTGGCCAAAGCAATGTAATTCTATTGCACCAATAAATTAAGATTATTATGTAAGAATTTTCTTATCTTTCATAGGGAGTGCTGGAACACCTGTAATTTTTAATGAAAATGGAGATGCACCTGGCCGTTATGATATCTTCCAGTATCAAATAATCAATAGAAGTGCAGAATATAAAATAATTGGCCACTGGACGAATCAACTTCATCTAAATGTAAGTTTGTACATTTGTTTAGTGATGTTATTTCATAAATATGTCTTAACGTAAAGAATAGCAATGATTTCTTTTTTAAAAAGTGTATTTGTTTCTTGGGGCATCTACATTTATTGAAAATGATTTTCAGTATTAATTGATTTATTGATTTAGTACTTAGAATGAGTCACTCAACTCAGAAGATACATTTGATGAAGAGGAGAATCTAGAAGCCCGTTCCAGAGAATAATACATTTTCTTGGAAGACTGTTGGAATTCTGCAGTTTACTGGCATGCTGTAACATCTTTCAAACATTCACTATAGGTAGAACAGCCTTCCTGAAAGTAACACCTCTATGACAGAGGTGGTATTCAGCAGGTTCTGACCAGTTCTGGAGAACCGGTAATGGAAATTTTGAGTAGTTCAGAGAACCAGCCATTCCCACCTCTGACTGGAGATTTTACACTATCCTTTCCCTGCCACGCCCACCAAGCCACACCCACAGAACCGGTAGTAAAAATATTCAAATCCCACCACTGCTCTATGACTACTAATTCTAATTACATTCTTAATTCATTCAGACCAATGTTGGATCAGTTCATTAATTGCCATGAAAGGATTGCACATAGATGAATGTGTTCTTCTATAGGTCAATATTCCATTGCAAATGCTCAATGACAAACCAGCTGATGTTTTAATACAAATAATAAATTAGGAAATATCATTTAAACAGAACAATGGTTTACAAATGATTATTCTTCTGAGGCTACTTTGTCATAATTATTACTGTGCTACCAACAGTAATACATAAAATAGGTTCCTATATCCAATCACTAGACCATATTTGCTGTTAATTTTCTACTCTTTTCTGGCAAGAGGCTATCCAGTTATTACTTTAATTCAAGCAAAAAAAAATGCAGTATTTGGCTAAGACATTTCTCATTCTTCCTACAGTGTAAAAATAAAAATATAAATCTTTGATGCAGAAAAATGATACATGATAGAAGCCCTGTACAATTTTTGGTTACATTATCAACATGAAGGCATGGCAGATGAAATGCCTTCAATTTTTTTCAAAAATAGTAATGTTATGGTTCCTAGTCAATTACTATTCCTATCAATAGTAATTTTAAGAACAATTATATATGAATTATGTGGAACTTTGGAAAATGTGTATATTGGGAGGGATGGACTAATAATATTTTTAAAAGATTAAGGGAAAAATTTATGGCCCTCATAATGCTATTGAAGAGCTGCCCTGGCATCTTCCTTTATTTGGATGATTCTTTCTTATATTGTAAGTTGAACTTTAATTGTAATAAATCTAAGCTATTATGGAGAAATTTTATCATCTTGACTTTTTCCTTTTAATATTGTTTTAAATGTTATTAGCCCCTTTCCCCCAACACTGGGGTTGTTTTCAAAGTTCCATATAATTCACAGATATTCTAATATTTGTTCTTGGAATTATTATTGATAGCAAATATATTTAATTAATTGCTTACCACTTCTAAAGTTGCTGCTTTTCCAATTATAATATATTCAAATCAGAAAAGTTTTAGGAATAATAGAATGGAATTCCGCCCCAGTATTTCCCAAGAACTTGTGTTCAATTGACATATTTATTCTTTCTAATCAATTTTAGTTACCAGGACTTTTGACATATTTGAGATAATATATCACAAGTAATTGTCCATATCTTTTAAATGTGTGCTAGATATGGCATAATCTAATTAAGTCAGTGGCATTTTCATCCTGTTTAAAATTATTCTAGGAATGTTGTAGGCAAGTTGTACTAAGTAAGTGGGATTTATTCCAAATAAGTGTATACAGAATTGGAACCTTGAGATATGAAAATTTAAGTTAATGCTAATTTTGTTCACCTACTTTGAAGAAATATTTTCATCCACACGAAAGGATGCATTTTTTGCAAAGAAATAAAATAATTTCTTTTAAAAATTGTAATGTTGGGGAGAACTGCATGCTTTGTACATCAATTCTCTTTTATATTTTATATTAGGTTACTGTTAAATTTATATTGAGCTTCTTACCCCTTACATTAAAAATGTGTTCACCTTATCAAGAAAAATCTTAGAATTTAAATCAACAGCAGTCAGATTATCATATATTGACATAGAGTAATTCTAAGATCTGTAGTTAAAAAAATCCCTGTGTATAAAGAAAAATCAATCTTCGTATCTCATCTTCTTTTCTTATGGGATTATTCAGATAAACATCATTAGCTAGTATCATACATAATTTTAAAATCAATTCTTAATACAAGAACTCATTACAGACTTTTAAAAGTGAATATTGTTTTGATGCTTATTATACCAATTCAACCTACGTATTTAATAATAATTCTAATAGTAGCATTTCTGAATATTATTTATCATTTGTCAGTATCAGGAGACCCACTGAAGACAATTTAGAGTGGAGGATTCTGTTTCCCTGGAATCATTAAGATAGCTGCATGACATTTTGCCAGTTTCTCTCAAGTTTCGATTGCTTTATATTTAAAACGCTATTCAACTTTCTTTCTGGCAATTATGTTGTATATTTATTCTAATCTTATTCTAATCAATTAATGGTAATAAAGCTGATAAAACTGTTATGATGATGGAATGGAATAATTTCATATATATTTTCCTAAACCTTATGGAAACACAAAGATAGGGATTACAGATTATGAATATGTAATTGTTATTGTTTACCATTTTTCTGTTACTGGCTATGCTACACAACTTACAATCTTATTACTTAATTAAAAGAAATAAGTACTGCATGTAGTAGGTTCACCAATATATTTGCTTAGTTTCTAACTATAAAATGCAATCATATATGTTTCTTCTTAGAAGTAGGTTCCATTTAATTTAATAAGACTTTCATTAGGTTAAATATTGTATGTAGGGTAGTAGGTATAGTATGTTATTGTTAATATGCTATTGTCTTCATTTTCTTATTATTTAATTTACATACTGACCATCGTGCCAGAAATTATTCTAGGCAGCTTACATTAAATAAAACAATATGCATTTTTTTTGGTAAGATACAACTAATGAGAATATAATCATACACATGGTTTCTCAACATTGTTTTCTAATATTGAATTGAAGTGGTAAATGAAGATCCTAACACTAAATCTAACTCATTTTGTACCTGGTCTCACTTGTAGCAAGTCCTACCTCAATGTTCTAGATTCATAACTTTAAAAATTCTGACCCCAGTCACTCCCCTCCAGGTACTTGTCCTTGATTTTCTGAGAAAGGAATGTTGTTGTGGCTAATCTTCCACTGCTCCTTGAAATCCCCCTCCCAAATTCCCAGGCACCAAATGTGGCAGCCCAAAAGCCTCAAAGTAAAATGGCTTCCAAGCTGACAAGCAAAGTCTTTGCAATTTGTTTTCATGATATGAATATTCAAAAATATTCTGATGTTAAATAGCACAAACATGTCTTTTTATCAGTTAAAGGGACAAAATTCAAGCAGAAGCATCTAGTTGTATTAAGGAATAAATCAATATCAGTGGATAGGTGTATTCTCAGAGAACAACTGGATATTGTAGCCAGGGCATGGTAACCCTGAATTTCACTATCATGAGACTTAATTTTTCTTTTCTTGGTGCTGCATCAAATATTTAGATTTATTTTACAGGTAACTGTTTTTCTGTGGACATTAGAGTGGTTCCTATATCTGTTATGCTGTTTCTGTTTCTGTAGATATGATAATGGCTCTCCTTTCTGGGTAGAAAATGCTGAGTCTGCCCTGGGAAAACATTACAAAATCTTGAAGATATCTGTGTCATCAGATTTTGCTGACATCTGGATTTCCTTTTAGTTACAGAATTGCTTTCTGCCTTTACCCCTTAGTAATGTAAATGCTCCAGGCATACTCTATCTTCACATTCTTTTCAACAGCTATAGCTGTTAGGAAGATAGATATTTTTACCTTAAAAAAAGGTTAAAAATGGGAATATGCCTTTCAAATTAAAATAAGTTTCTTTTAACTTTCTGTGAAATATAGTGTATTTGACACATCAATAATTTATGCAGAACAGCTTACAAAAATGGGAAAAGTCTACATTTAAACAAACAATTGTGCAAATAAAGGAAAGCTGACAAAGCAAAGGATTATCTATTCTCTGGCTATTCGATGCTGTTTTGAGATCTTGCATGATTTTTTTTATGTCTTCTTAGGATAGCTTTATAAAATAGACAGGTAGCTATTAATATTTATATTAAATCCATGGACATTCTCCCTTTCTGCTAGAAGTCATGCAAGGTGACTAACAATACAGAAATCTAGTTTATGTAGTTAAACTCAATATTGACTAATTCAAAATGAAGAGAGATGGGTAAAGAAGAAAGAGAGGAAAGAGCAACTCTGAAAGAAATGGACCTCAGAAAGTGAGGACATCTGTAAGAAAATCTGTTATAATGATCCTATCATTAGATAGGTTCATATCAGAGGTGGTATTCAGCAGGTTCTGACCAGTTCTGGAGAATCGGTAGCGGAAATTTTGAGTAGTTCAGAGAACCAGCAAATACCACCTCTGACTGGAGATTTTACAGTATCCTTCCCCTGCCACGCCCACCAAGCCCACCCACAGAATTTGAATCCCATCACTGTTCTGACTGGACATTTTACAGGATCCTTCCCCTGCCACGCCCACCAAGCCACGCCTACAGAACCGGTAAAAAAAATTTGAATCCCACCACTGGTTCATATCCACAGAAAGCCACGTTTCAGATATGGCTGGCTGGGAATTCTAAGAGTTGAAGTTGAAGGGTGCCGAAGTTGAGAAACTTAATGGTGCCGAAGTTGAGAAACACCAATTTAGTGCTTTAAAACAGGGGTCGCCAATCTTTTGTACCTCCCGGACCACCAAACTCTTAATTTTAGATCCCAGGGACCACTAACCGGTTCTGTGGGCATAGCCTAATTTGTGGGTGTGGCTTGGTGGGCATGTGACTGGCTGTATGTAAATATTATAAATATCTATATAAATATTGATTTTTTTT